TGTGAAACTATTTCTGATTTGATTTTTTTAGAGCCTCGTTTATCTGTGTTGTTACTTCTGCTCCTTCCATTTCAGAATGTCCAGCTGGGTGGCTTTTAATTTCTTCTACCTCATTTCCTCATGAGTTTGCTGCAGTATGTTTCCATATATTTTCATTTTCTATTTTTAAAAAATTGTTCTTTCCTGTGGGTGCTTGTAAATTTCTCAGGGTAGATAGCTAGCTTTTGTTGTTGGTATCAAGACCTCCATAGGAAATTACTACTTCTCAGAAATTCCTTCCAGACATAGGTGGATTTTGGCTTTTGAGTCTGTGTTAAGATCCTGCTTCTTCATATTATTAGACATGAAAAGTTGCTGCCTACTTGGCTTACCACCCAGTTCATTGGTGCTGGACTGTGGTATTGTTTAAGACCCTCAGACAACCTCAGTATTGGGATACAAGGAAGAGCAATTGATCACAATGATGTCCCCTTGGTACAATAATACAATCAGTGATATCAATAGTATCAAGTATAGCTTAGAAAATGACACAAAGTGGTAAGTATTAATTTGCCACTTTAAACCATGGGTACAAGATTTAGAGTTATATAACAAAATCTAAAACAAATCTGAAAATTATATATAGTAAATAGCCCCTCAGTACCGTGGTTTACCTTCAGAGGAGAACATTTTAATGAGACAAGAATAAAAAGTAGAGAAAAAGGGAAGAGAAACAGTTTAGAAGCAAGGCTAAAGGACAAATGAAGATTACCCAAGTTTTAAAAACCCGGTGAGAAAAAAATAAATAAATAAAAATAAAAACCTAGAGAGGAATAGAGGAAGACAGGAGGGAAAGAAAAAAGGAAAAGACCTAAACAAGACAAAAAAAATTTAAAACAATGTTGACACTCATGAAGAAAACAACACACAAGACAAGCTAGATTTTGGAGTGATCTTTCTGGGTCCTGTTATGTGGGAGCTAAATAAGCACTTCTCATAAAGCCCCAGGTGTGGGTGAGAAAAATTGTGGAGTGCGTAGAGAATAGCAGAGGGCTGAGCATGTGCTTTGCAGTGTGGTGGTCAGCTACTGCATAGAAGTAGGTTGTGGTGTCCCACAAAACACTGGAGGAGGGGCTCACTGAACAAGTGAGCCAGGAAACAGTGTTGAAAATAGGAAGAGGTAGTTAGCAACTCTGCATGGAGCAGGCAAGAGGTGGTTCACATATCATCTATTTTATAAGCTACAGTAATGCTTTTAGACTATTAGGATGTTTCAAGACACTAAGAAGCACTTTGAAAATAATGAGTCCTATAGTAGCTACCAGTGTAGTGTAGCTTTGCAAAGGGCCTTGAATTGCCGGGCACAGTTTATGTACTAAGAGAATCATTATATCCAGTAAATGTTTTATCTTAGGAGAGGGGGATCGCCATTAGCACCACATAGGCAAAGAGTTGAGCCTTGTACTGCATGGTTGGTAAGAGCACTGTGATAACTGGGCAGCAAGAGGAGCGCTGTGAGGAGCAGCAGCAGTACTGTGTCTGAGCTGTCCTTCACTCCATTACATGCATTACATGCACTGTTTAAAACTCTGCATTTCCATGATTATCAACATCTTTTTCATTATAGTTTGTAACTAAAGGAGAGGAAGCTAATATGTCTTTATGATTTTGTAGCAACACTCTTTGCCATTGCCAGGATTTGTAAAATGAACCTGTGTCAGGCTCTCAAGACTGAATAAATGAAAGCTTAAAAAGGTTATTTGCCCTTTGAAATGATAAAGAATGGAGGATGATGGACACACTTTGAATCAGCCCCGTAATACAGCTTTAGTGTGTGTGTGTGTGTGTGTGTGTGTGTGTGTGCTTGCGCGTGTGTATACCTTTTATTCGGATTTTAGGTAAACATACTAAAAGGGGAGAGTGGTGGGGGATGTGTAAGGGAAGTTGAAAGTTATTCCTTCTTAGTCAAGGAGAAAGGTAATTTAAGTTTCTCCAGTTCAAGGACATTCATTATGGAAAGCCACAGGCGAAGAACATAAAAAACCAACTCTGCATTGGATTACTCACTGCGGGACCCATGGTACTGTGTTAATGTTTTAGATGAGATTCTGCTGCTGTGAGTAAATAACCATTTGCAGCTGTCATTCTGTAAAGCCTTGTACTCTGAAATTTACTGCTCTCTGCCTTAAAAGGTTGCACATAAACACTTTTGGAAAATGTCATTGTAATTCAGTAACTATTGGAGTTAATTTTTAAACACTTTTGTTTTGCAGAATTTGAAGCCTATATCCCTTTGTATTTCTTCTACCATATTTACTCTAGCATCAGAATCTTGCCATCTATCCTGTCTTACGTTAGACTAGAAGCACCCTGAGATTAAGGGCAGCGTTTTGTCACTACACTGTTGTCATACCTGGTAGAGTGCCTGATCTCTTGCTGGTCTCCTGTGACTTCCTTGGCCAGTGACTTTTTCAGAGTTTGCTTTCATAACTCCCCTGATGAAAGTAGATGATGGTGTTACCCACCATCAGAGAACTGAAAACCCAGTTTCTCAGGGCACAGTCTCCAGAAACAGATTACAGGAAAAGGAGGAAACAATAGCAAAGCAAAGAGTTCTGCAATAACTATCACAGTAGCTTTGAAACCTGGATTGCATTCCTATTCCTTTTCTGTCCTGAATAAATTCCTTAGTGAGACAGCAAAGCACACTTGCAGTTTGGGCTGTAGTATGGGACAAAGTATAACAACTGTACCAATGGGGTTTCCGGTGCTTACTTACTATCTCTTCACCGCAGGTTTATTTTCTTTCTGATAATGGCCTCTTGTACTGATTCCTGGTATTCATTTGTCAAAACCCTAACTTTGGTTTTCAATGCTCAACTTCACTGTTAGAGAAACAGATTTAATGTAAGATATATAAATATGTAAGAATTTACAAGACAACTCACAATGGCTACCCATAGTCACCTATGGTGGAGCCCCAGTAGGTTTTCGTACATGCTGGAGATTCAAAGGATCCAGCCAAAGGCCTGGAGTTCACTGTAGCATCCCATGCAAATCCATATCAGGAGGCTGAAGGTTTTATGCTGTAAGCCAACAGGGGATGTTCAAGGTGAGAGTGAACCCTGAAACTGCACCAAAGAAACAAGAGCCGTCCTTCCTCATCTCCCTTTTATTCCACCCAGGATACAACCCTGTTGGTTGCTGTCACTTACACCCAGGCTGGGTCTTCTGTCTTCAGTAAACCCCCTCAGCCACAGCGAGAAATATGCCGATCCAATTTCTGCAGGTGTTTCTTACTCTAGTTGACAGGATCAGTGAACACAACTTCTGTCTGCCAACAAATATTTCTGGTTAAGCTGTTGATTCCTTTTCTTTGAATTTCTATCTTGCTTTATCTTCCCCTCTGACTGACTGAACTTCCTTGTTAAACTTTAAAATTGTATTGAATGTTTTTGTAGAGTAAGTATTTCACTACTTTTACATCATGACTTGTGTGGTAATTTGAGTTCATATGAATGGAAGGAACTTTTTAAACAAGATTTTATGGTTAAAGCTTTTTTTTTTTTTTTGGTTAAAGCTTTTTTAAAAAAAAAACTTTTGAATAATATGCTTTCTACCAAATAGTAGAATATTTTTTCAAATGGTAGAATAAAAACTGTTTTACTCATTGGAGTGTAAAGTCCTGGCTCTTTCACTTACTGTTTGTGGTGGGCATATTATTAATCTTCCTGTGTCTCTCTTACCTGTCACACGGGGGGGGGGGGTTGCATATTCACATAATTGTGGCAAAACAGTGACATAATATATGTACAGCACTGGTAACAGTGCCCAGCACATAATAAACACTCAGTAAAAAAAAATATCTGCAGTAGTGCCACCTTGTGGTTGGCACCTTGTTCATAGTCAGTCCTTGTTGACTTGAACAGGATGAGTTCACTTTTCCCTGGATTAGATAAGAATAAGGAAGTTACAGCTGGATTAGGATGCAGCTGGTGGAAAAACAGTGTACTGGGTTTTTGCTATGTGCCAGTATTGGGGACACAACTTGAACAAGAAAAGCAAAGCTCTCTGCCCTTAGGGGGTATATATTCCAGTGTGACTATAGAAAAGCATACAGCAAAGAAAGTAACTATAAACTGTAAACTGTTGAGAGAGAAAAAAGGGCTGGAAATGGAGCAAGCAGTTTGTGTAACTTATCTGAGATAAGTAGGAAAGGCCTCCCCAGGGGAGGAGGGTTTAACCAAAGACCAAAGTCTGACAGGGCACCAGCCCAGCTGACAGGGCTGAGGGAGCAAGCCCAGGCCTGAGCACAGGCCCTGAGGCAGGAGGTGCAGGAAAGCCCGTGGCTCAGGTAAGCTAGGAATTTACAGGCTGTCCTCCAGGCTCAGATTGCAGTAGTGCTGACAGTTCTTAAGAAAGGGTAAGAAGTAGGAAACGCTGCGCTGAAGTAGACATCTGAGACAGAGAAACAAAGCAGAGGGGTGTGGGAAGGAATGCAGGGGAGAGCAGACGTGGTCTGGGACCTGAGTGCTCTCTTACCGCGGTGGTAGACGTGGACAGTGCTGCTGGCCCGCAGTTGGACTGGCCAGTGACCTGCGAGAGTAGATGGCTTCTTTATGCTGTGTCATTACCTTGTTGGGCACAAGAGCGCTTCCGCTGGGTTGGCGAGTGCTGTGCCTCAGCTGCCAGTGTGTCACTTTGCACCTCAGCAGGAGGAAACACAAGTGATGCTCCACTAGGTGACTGCAGGAGCTCTTGTTTCCAAAGCATTTCAGAGTTTGTGTGCGTGTGTGCATGCGTGTGTGTGTGTGTGTGTGTGTGTGAGAGAGAGAGAGAGAGAGAGAGAGAGAGAGAGAGAGAAATTTTAATTTATAGTCATCATTACTCCTGTAAGCATGAGTTGGAAAACATTACATTTCTATAAAATTAGCCTGATGCCTTAAACTTAAGTTCTCTAGTCTAAATGTGAAACTTAAGTGTTGTCTTTTCAGTAATGACTCTGTCTTTTTTTTTTCCAGGCTTCCTTCAGGATTTCACCCATCCTTACAGTCTCTCTGAGAAAGCCTGACTGAACTTCCTTGTTAAATTTTAAAATTGTGTTGAATGTTTTTGTAGAGTATTTCATTACTTTTACATCATGACCTATATGGTAATTTGAGCTCATATGAATGGAAAGAACTTTTAAACAAGATTTTATGGTTAAAGTTTTTTTTTAAAAAAAAAAAAACCCTTTTGAATAATATTCTTTCTACCTATTTTTTCAAATTTCATATTTTCCTCTTTGAACAAAATGTGATATAAATATAATATGCAAGCATCTGACATATGAATTTATATATGGCTTGAAGGCTGGAGGCTATCCCCTATTACTATGTGTGAAATTATTTTCTCATCATTGTTACCAGGCAACAAATAAATATTCTAATATTGTTTATTATTGCAAAAGCATTCCACAATTCAAAAGCTTTCTGGCAATAGTAAATACAAAATAACTATAGATATTATTAGAATCTGTTAGTGAAATTTTTGCTGAATCAAAGATTTTTTTTAAATATATTACTTTTCACACCCATTCATGATTTTTAAAAATCCCACAGAAAATTGGAATAGATGGTCTTTACCACAATCTGATAATAGCTGTCTATGACAAACCAACAGCCAACATTATACTGAATGGACAAAACCTGAATACTTTCACCCTCAAAATCTGGAACAAGACAAGGATGTTCACTCTGATTCAACATAGTCCTGGAAATTTTAGCCAGAGCAATTAGAAAGAAATGAATGGAATAAAGATAGGAAAGAAAGAGTTATGTTATCATTCTTTCCAGATGACATAATGCTCTACCTCATAAACTCTACTAGAAAACTGCTAGATTTAATAATCCAATTCAGTAGCATAGCTAGGTATGAAGTCAACACTCAAAAATCAGTAGCATTTCTGTATATGAAAATTAGGGAAAAAAACCTTTCACAATAGCATAAAAAATGAAATTCCTGAGAATCAATCTAATGAAGAATTGAAAACTGCGGTACTCAGAAAAAGAAAATTGAGAATATCAGAAAATGGAAAGATATCCCCTTGCTTTGGTGTAGAAAAAACCATGGGCATATGCACAAAACTATTGTACAGATTTAATTCCATACTGATCAATTCTCTAATTTCTCACAGAATTAGAGAAAACTATTCTAAAATTCATTTGGAACCAGAAATGACCTAGACTAGCAAAGGCAATTCTGGACAACAAAGAAAAGGTAGGCATCACAATCTCTGACTTGAAATTATACTATAAAGCTACCATAATTAAAACAAAAACAAAAGCCTCATGTAGTACTAGAAAAAACAAAAAAGACCCAAAGATCAGTGGAACAGATAAAAGATGCAGGAACAACTCCAGATATACTCAACTACCTTATCTTTGACAAAGTTACCAAATATTCACTAGAAGAAAGATAGCCTCTTTAATCATTGATTCTGGAAAAACCAGCTTTGCACGTACCAAAGATTAAAATTGGACCCGTATCTTTCACCATGCACTAAACTAAATTCAAAATGGATCAAAGATATAAATACTAAAATAGAAACATTAAATCTGCTAGATGATAGAATAGGTAAAATTATTGAAAACATTGGTGTAGACAAAGACTTTATGAATGAAACCATGATTGCATAGGAACTATCACAAAGAATCAACAACTGGTATCTCATCTTATTAAAATTATTTTGCACAGCAAGTGAAACCACCAACAGAGTGAAGGGACAACCCACAGTGTGGGAAAAAATGTTTGCCATCTGTTCCTCAGATGAAGACTTACTATATATATTACACATAAAGAACTAAAGAAAAATCAGACCTACCAATTTTAAAGACCCAGTCCACAAATGGGCCTCTGAGATGAATACACACATCTCAGATGAACAAATACAAACAGCAAATAAATACATGAGAAAATGTTCAACATCACTGGTCATTCAAGAGATGTAAATTAGGGGCCGGCCTTACATCTTGCTTAGGCAGACGCAGGGGCCAGAGGCTCTGTCCCAGGCCTGCTGTGCTTGCTCCACCCCCAGGCACGCTGAGACATTGAATAAGACTGGGCGTGGTGGCGCGTGCCTGTAATCCAAGCACTTGGGAGGCTGAAAAACAGGAAGGATCTCTACAAGTCTGATCTGTGCAGTGAGACCCTGCAGACTCTGTACTAAATACATTTTTTTTTCAAAAAAACACACAAGAGAAATTAAAACAACACTGAGATTCCATCTCACCCAAGAGGGAATGACTACTATATTCAATTATCTGTCCAGTCTTAAAATACTATATCTGTTAATAGGAGCCACAAATTTGATAATGAAAATAGGTAATATCACAACTATTGTTAATTTGCTATTCCTGTTTTAAGGGATTTTTGATCACTCGCTGCTGCAATCACTATGAGTTTGAGCTGTGTAGAGACCCTGTATCAAATAAATAAATAATTATTTTTTTAACCAATAGCAAATACTAGAGGGACTGTGGGGAGAAAGACACTTTCTCCACTCTTGTTGGGAGTGTGACCTGTGCAGCCACTGTGGAAATCAGTGTTGAAATTCCTCCAAAAAACTAGAATTGGAGTTCCTATTTGACCCAGCTGTTCTCCTTCTGGGTATCTTCCCAGAAGAATTAAAAACATCGTACCACAGTGATATATGTTCACTCCTGTTTATAGCAACACAATGTGTGATAGCTAGATTTTGGAAACCACCCAAATGCCCATCAACCAAGGAATGGATAAAAAGATGTGGTCTTTCTATACAATGGAATACTACTTAGCCATAAAGAAGGATAAACTGCAGACCCTTATAGGTAAATGAATGCAACTTGAGATAGTACTCAAAAGAGAAATAAACCCTAAGCACGTTTGTAAATATATTGTCTCCCTAATGAGAGAAGTTGAAAGTAAATAAGATACAAAATGTACAGTAGATGTTGTAAAATGGGAAGAAACTTTAAAAGGAAAGAGAAATTGGGATGGAATGGAGAAAAGAAGGAAGGGAAAAGCTATGTCAGATAGATAGATAGATAGATAGATAGATAGATAGATAGATAGATAGATAGACTAATTTCTCAATGAAATTAGTTTATTGAAAAGAAAGATTTGTTTGGACTTTTTTTGTATTTTAGGGAAGGGTCTACAGGGTGTTCAGGGTCTCACTGCCAGATTGGACTCATGGTGATCTGCCTGTTTACAGCCTCCCAAGAGCTGGGATTACAGACATGCGCCACCCCACCCAGTCTCAATTGCCATCTCAGCATGCCCCGGAGGCGGGCCCAGCATAGCAGGCCTGGGGATTGAACCCCTGGCCCCTGTGCCTGCTTGCAGGTGCTTTAATCTGCTGAGCTATTTGGCCAGCCTGTTTGGACAATTAAATTCCAATGTCTTGTACTCATAGTAATGTAAAGATAACAGTACATGATGTGTTAAGCATTGTTAGCCTCTTACCTTGTTTTGAAATTTTGTTTTATTTTTTTCACTTTCAAATAAAAAATATATCACTTTTCAAATAAAAGTATGGTCTCTATAATTATAATTTGAAGAATATTAGATTTTTTAAATAGAATAAAATTATGCCAGATTTGTTTTAACACCAAATCATTTCTTACTAAAATTCAATACTATTCCAACATATTCATTAATAATTACTCCACTTTTTTTAAAAAGTTCCACATTTTAGGCACAATTTGGAAATATTTCATATTGTTTCTACTTGCAGTGGTACTTTGATGTAAAATTAATATGGCTTCCACTGAATTTAGGGGTATGGGTATGGTGTAACAAAAATTATGCAAAAGTTAACCACTGTCAGAATGGGAATGAATGAAACTTGACCCTGTATATATTTAGAAAATTCTCTGTATGAGATATGAAATTAGAATGACTATTATTACTTTGTTTTATGTATTTGGTACATGGTCTCACGCTCACAGTTCAGTGCTGGGATTATAGGCATGCACCACCACACCCAGTCTCAGTGGCCAGTTCAGCGTGCCTGGGGTTGGGGCTGGTATGGCATGTGGTGCCCCAGGGATCCAAACCTGGTCCTTGCACTTTCCTAGGCAGTTACTTGGTCCAAAATTAAAATTATCTGAACTAGGAAAAATTAAATTTGCCTATGATCCTGGCACATGGGAGGCTTAAACAGGAGGATATCTATGAATTCAAGGTCAGCCTGGGCATATAGTGAGTTCAGGGTCACCCTGGAAAACAGAAAGATCCTATCTCAAAAGTAAGAAAAGAAAATAAAGTGTCTAAGTTGAGCTGGGCATAACTCCAGAAGATGCATCTCATATTGGATACAAGACTCATCTCTCTGATGCAGTGGGTTAGCTTTCCCACTCGGTGACTAGATACCTAAGAAAAATCAAATTTAGATAAAAGGTTTATTCTGGCTCCTGGTTTCAGAAGGCTCAGTCCCTGGTCACTTGATGGTTGTGTTTGGGTTATGGTAAGGTTGAACATCACAGTGTGGAGGCCATAGCAAAGCAGGGTTGCTCACCTCTTGCTGGCTGAGAAGCAAAAATGAAGCGGGAGCTGGGCTGAGTGTCTCCTGTAAGGCAGGGGCCTTAACAGCCTAACTTCCATCCACAGGACCCTGCCTGTGAAGAGTCTACATCCTCCCATAGCATACAGGCTAGCAACTGAACCTTCAGCTTGTGGCCTTGGGGGACTATCTAGCTCTAAACCATCAGAAGCAGAAACATCGATATTGGTTAAAGAACTGAAGGAGCCATGTGGAAAAACATAATCGATTATGTTTCACCAGGCCCCCATGCTGCCTGCCTTTTCTCCCATCTGGTCAGCTAGAGCAACCAAGCTGTCTGGTCAATGGAAGTCCTCTCTCCTGTGTCCCACGTTATTTTTTTCACACTCAGATGTGTTCTGGATTTTGAGCTCAGTTTAGAGTAGATGTTAAACCTCATTGTGAAGGGAGGATGTTACAGTGCCCTCAGGGAGCCTTAATGCTTTATTGGTGATTCATTTTCCACAACTTCCTAAGGTTTACATGTGCAGTGTGTAAGATCAGCCTTCTCTCCAACTGGCAGTATAGCACTGGCGATAAAGATAAATGGAGCCAAAGAAAGTCAAGCTTATTGAACTTGCTGCACACCAGCTCTTTATTCTCATATA